ATCTGATATCATTAGATTAATTTAAGCCTAGGAGTACGTAATTATAAGGAAAAATAAAATATTGACACTGTTTTCAGGATTCGTGAAGCTGTAGACTTAAAAAATTAGATCATAATTTTTGTCAAATAATTATGGAAAAGTTCAGTTTCAGTGCATTCTTAGCTCCAAAAGAAAATATACATTCGGGATTTATTTTAATGTCTAATAACATTTAGTGCTGGATGTAGATGCAAATGAAAATACCTGTAATTGCTTATTTGAAAATATCTTTTGTTAATGAATATTATGAAGCAGTTTTTGAAAATGAAATTTGAAACATCATCAGAAATAAAGTGGACACAGTTTCTTACGTCTCTTATTTAGGTATCTCCAACACCATTGTTTATCAGCCTGAAAGGATGATGCTGAAATTAAAAAAAGAAAATGGTTCCTTTGGCTTCACTTTAAGAGAAAATTTCAGCAGACGGTCAATGGCAATGGAGTATCCAATCACCAGCAACATAAAGCGTGGCGGGCCTGCTTATAAGTACTTAGCCTTTCAATCATATTTAAAACGTCTGTAGCTGATTCTTTGCTTATTTTTCACGGTCATTACGCAGTGCAATTTTAAGCTTTTTGAATATTTATTAGTTATTTCGCCTGGCAAATATTACCATGGCAAAAGAACCTTTATTTTTCAAACTGATGGCAAATTGTCACTTCGCAATGATGTTACCATTTGATAGACCATAAACTCTTTAACATATATGTCAAAGTACTATTCATAACTTATGTGTAAAGTTTTGCATAACGTAAATAATTAAACTATTTCAAACTTAATCAATTGAACAATGTTAAATACTTATTTATGTCTTTATTTTTCAGCAACCAATTGACTTTCACTCCTTATAAATTGATACCTTTATTGCATTTTTAATAACGTCTGTAATTTATGAAACTAATTCATACGATTTATAACAACTCAAGTAGCGATTTTAACAAATATTTGGAATATTTTAATTAATTTGTGTTTCTAACGTCATATTATATATTTTAGCATGAAGTTGTCGTTTGCAAGCCCTCCATCAACGATTTTTTTTTACTTTAAGGGAGAGCTGCAAATCAGTTTCATTTCAAAAGAGTGATAATTATTTATTACATAGATTTTCGATTTTACGAATGTGTATGGACTGCTAAAGATTTTGAAATATCTCATATGGGACCACCAAGGGGGAAAAAAGGAAAATAGCAATTTGTACTCACTTTTATTTGTTTTAGAATCCCAAATAACCATCAGTTTGGTTTCTAACCATAGATAAAAAGATATGATTCCGCAGAGCTAATGCTGGTAAGCCACAAATAATTTCTAAAAGATTCAATTTCTATTAAGCCATTCTAACAATTATTTTTTGACATCTTGAAAGGTAGGTCTTGAAATGGCTTCTAGGCATTCTTTTTCCTCAACAAATGCCTTGAGCGACTCAAGTTCAGCACTGGATATATTATTTCATTATCGATTATTTATTCTGTGCATGATCACATATTCACACTTGCAATCAAATTAACCTATGTTCAAGTATAAAGGGACTTTAGAGGACTTCTCCAGCGAATTTCTTTCATGAAGAACTCACGTGTATAGGGGTCGGTATAGTTCTAATCCCGTAATTTATTCTTTTGTACTAGTACAATTTTTCTCTTCAACAAATCCTGTTTGTTAAAATGAGTTAGTGACCAGCTGGCAAAAACGTGCCATTTCAAACCTTCTTCTTACTTCATATAAAAAAGGATGTTCTTAACAGATAATTAATAAATTAAATAAAAAAAAGAAGAAAAGAAATCTAGAGTTTAAAATTGTAATTCTGTGCATACCATACTGAATTCACTGATTCAACATTAAATCTGTTTTTAGCCATCGGATGTTTACTAGTCAGAAAAGCCACTGCATACCAAGGGGGTGAAACTAAAAAAAAAAAAAAGAGAAAGGAGGACAGTTCTATATGTTCCGTTTTATTCTGCCGATTGCCGAAATTCAGCGTGCGTTTTCCATATCTCGAAACTGTGACTTAATGATATATATATTAGATTTATGTTCAGCATTGTTCTAATATACCTATTTGACTAAAATCTGAGCTTTTCCTGAAATAAGTTTAACAGATATTTTTTGTCAATTCTACGAGTAAAATTATGCCTAAATTCCAAATTTGTAAATTCCGATGAGAAATTTAAGGAATAATTCAGCAATTTATTTTGACGCACTTTTTCAATTTTATGGCAAGAATGATACGCTTGGCAAATTTCTTAGTATATGGCAGCCTATTTTACTTTCCCTTTTGTTTTAAATGCGCGTAAAAAAGTCTCGTTTCTTCCTTCTTGAAAATACTTTTTTATTTTATATTATATTTTTTAATCTAATGCGTAATTTTTAGATTTTTCTTTTTAGAATTACATTTCAATCCTTTAAGTTTTATATTTCTTCAAATAATTATTTTAAAATGTTCTATATATTCATTCGGATTGTGCACTTTTACATTATTGATATAAATGTTTTGAAAATTTGATTTTATTCATTTCAACCACATTTCTTTCAAAAGAATACTTTGTGACGCAGTATACGCTGCGATGCATTTCAAAACTCTGTATATTAAAAGATTCAGAAAATGTATATAAATAAGAAAAATGGATGATCGACATTTTAATTTAGGAGTCGATGGATATATTACTCTACGCGAATTCCTGTTGCTCAACACAATTTTATCATTGTGTCATTGCTGTATAAATCCTTACATTTCATCTTCTTGTTTCAAGTTTGTTAAATTATCACTCTATATTTTAGAATAAGTATTCATTTTTTAAGCTGAAAGCAAATAATGTAGCCCCCCCCAAAAAAAACTAAATTTTATGCAAAAAGTTATTTTTGTCTTTAATGCTTTGTCGATTTTTTTAAGGCATTCTGCAAATATATCGGGAATCATCTACATGTTTTTATTCCCTCTATATAATAAACGCTTTTCAAACAACTTGATTTTTGTAGCATTCTTATGAATAAAAGTATTGCCTTTCGTTTTATCAGTATTTTATCAGCATAGAATTGTGAAGTGAATTTGACCAGAAGATGAAAGAAAAAATTTGGTTTCTTCATCATTATAACCGTTTTTAGCTGGCATCCATATGCTTCATTGGCTAAATTCTTGAATCTTCAACAGATTTGGCTGATACTTCTTTGAATTCTTGAATCTTCAACAAATCCGGCTGAGACATCTTTGGTGTATATGATGATAGAAACAATTTGTGACGTAATTGAAGTGCATGCAGCCTCTTCAGTGGAAAAGCTAGTCGGTGTTCGCATTCACTGGCGATTTTATTTCTTTTATCTGTTTCGTTAATATGTAGGAATACTTGAAGAAGAACACACTTATCCTCTTCTGTTTCCTTAGATTTCAAGAACGCTGAATGAATATAATGATAGCAAATGTGACTGAAAATTCATTGCTTCGTAAGTGAACCCTTCCTTGGTCCTTGGAACATTCATTTGCAATTACAGCTTGGTAAAAACCGCATTTACGATTTTGGTGTTAACAAAAACTATGCTTTTTGTACTTGAGAATATAATAATATTTTAAATATTTACAAATCAAATAGCATATTAGAGACCTTATAACCTGGCTCCTAATTTAAGCGGGCCTCGATCCCGACCTAGTGGTTAAAAGACAACTGAATAATTGATAGTTCTTCCCGGGTTTGAACCCTGTCTTACAGGCTGGCTACATTTTCATAGTTTCCCCATGTGTAATACGAATCAGTTTTCCTAAGAAAGTTCTTCAAGAAAGCATCCCTACTTATAGGCAGATAGCTCCTGTGCACTTTGCTATATTCTAACATTACCTAACCTAACCTAAGGTAATGAGAGATTTTGGAGAAGACAGATTTATTAATTAAAAAAATATTAATTTATTTTAAAGACAAAACAATGCCAAATGTTTAAAGAGCAAAATTTGGATTTCTAAAATACTGCAGATTTAAATATTATTAATTTACATATTTAATAAATGTCTATTCATATGTACTACTTAGTTCTTTGAATAATCCTCTTGCTGCATTTCTTTGGTTTCAGTTAAAAAAAAAAAAAGATATCTTTGTCTTTGGCTTGCCCTCGCATGTAGTGCTTCAATCTATATTCATATTTTGACATTCATTTTAGGGTATTCATTTGGAAACCGACACCAATATTAAAAAAGTTACATATTTCGAAATATCTAATGTTACAAGTTCTTCCGTATGTAGCGTTTTGAGATAGCAAAAGTAAAATTACAATTTAATGCTTTAAATTTTATTTTAATTATACAGTAAAGCTCTTAAATTTATTACATAACCAGATTTAATTCACTTAGCATTAAGAGATATAATTTCAGTTCACGAATCAGTAAAATTTTATTACGTTTTAAAATTTTGTTATTAAACTAGTTTTCTCAGTTTCAGAAAATTCGATTTAAATCAAGTTAAAAATAACAGACAATAACATGGCGAAAGTAAAAACTTATTTTTAAGGACATAAAAATTCACAAAATATATTAAAGAATTAATTAATAATTCTTATAATTTAAAAAAGGCTTTCCAAATATTCTTCATAAATATTTATTAAGCATCATCAGTAAAAATGAGAATAAATTCCGTATGAATCATTTTAGGTAAAAATTTGTTTAAAAATTAACTGTGATAGTTAACTGAAGATTGTTTCAAAGTGTTAAGCATATCTGGAGTTATCATCATTTATGCCATAGATGCCAAATTTCAAAACCATCCATTAGATAAATTTACGTATATCTTAGGATTTTTTGAATAAAATTCTTTATTTTTTTGGCAGATATGTATAGAAATATATCTAGTTTAAAATGTTGAAAATTTGATAGGTTATATAATACAAAATGTTTTGAAGAAATTTATAAAAATTATTCAATAATAAAAATTTTTAAACATCAGAAAAAAGTTTGAATTTTATTTGGATTGAATTTAAATTTCGAATAATGAAAGAAGAAATCAAGTAAGTATGATTAGAAAAGAGATATTATTAAATATGTACCAAATTTAATTAATATTGCGGATTTAAAATTTTGAGTGCTAATTTAAAAAAAAAAATCGGCATTATCATTTCAGAAAAATATCCAACCTGGAATTCACATAAACAGAATAATATTCTTTAACATGCGTTGATTAACACTGCACAGAATGAACACATTACAAGCAAGAGTAATGATACTTCAAAGTAGTGTACAGTGGCAGACTCAACCGATATTTTACCTGGAAGCCATATTTACTCGTTGGTTTTTGTGTTAGTGGTCTTGTTATATCTTATGTAAAAATTCATATCGGCGCGTTTCAGGATTCAATAGCGGGAGAATCTTAGCTTACTGCAGAGTTGATTATTTACGAATTATTCAGTCAGTAGTCCATCAGACCCTATTAAATTGATAAGCAAATTGTCTTTTCGGTTATATAAATACGGCAAAGTCCTGTGCAGGTTTTAAATAATTTTTTTTATTAAACTTGCATTTAAACAGAAGGCACCACTTGTGCGTACAATTCAGCCTCCGAATAGTGAAATAGAATAAAGTTGAATTTACAATGAAATTATCCTAGTCATAGACTACACGAATTTGGCCAAACTAAGCTGGGTCAATTATAAAGGCGCAGTTTAACGTCGGGTAGCAAATTTCTAATGCCGAAATTAACTGGCGATGTTAGACAGTAGATAGAGAAACTGCAAGGGTCACTGCCAAAATCTCTATATCTAAAACATTCAGAACTCCCACCTTAAATAATCTTTAACTTGTTTCCGTCCTGGTGACCTCTAACGGAATGGAGAGGCTTTTATAAAGGTCCAGTTTATAAAAACTGGTTAATTAACATAATATAGCTTGTAATTGAATCTGTAGACTACTGTACCGTGCAGCTGCTGTTCGCTATCTCCAGTAACTTTTATAAAAATTTACAATCAATGAGTCCAAGAAGATACTACTACCTTCCCCCAACTCAATAATGATTGAAATGACAGATATCTTGTCTGAAAGTCTAGGCAATATTTTCAATCAAACTGATAAGCAACAGCAATCAACAAGTATGAGAGATGAATTTTGGCATAGAATTTAAGCCTCATAAATTGCAGTTCTCATAATGTCTAGCTACAGTTACCTTAAATATTTAATCATTTCATTTTACATTCATAATATACTAGCACTACGATGCCGGGCTTCGTCTGGCTTTTAAATGTACCGGGAAAATGCCTGAAGAGAACACGAAACATTAAATTTAAAAACTGCGCAAAATTTTACTCTGCAGAACAACTTCATAAAAAGAAATTATTACATATAACAATAATTATCCTAATAAATAAATTAATTATCCTAATAAATAAATTAACCAACTTCCCGTTGCCTTTTCTCAACAAACATCCAGTATCCAAGAGAAACACTAAATTTAAAAGCTGCACAGAAATTTCGCCCTCATTTTTCCAAGTAGCAACAGTGCTGATTTTCAAGTCAGCACTCCAGTACGCAGTTGAATGAAAAACTGTTGCCAAAAGCTCATTTCTAAAAAAATGAAACTTTTCAAAATGATGCGATAAAATCGAAAATATAAAATAAAATAAAAAAAAAAAACTGGTTCAAATTTTGAAAAACTCGCTTCGAGGTGCACTGGCTCTTGTCTAGATGCACCTATGTACCAAATTTCGTAGCCCTTGGTCTATTTAGCTTACGCGCAGCACGAAAGAAAGACACACAGACTCTTTCTTTAATTATATGTAGAGATTTACAAAATTAACATAATTCTGCAAATTTTTTGAAATGATGTTTCAATTTCAATCGCCAGCTGTTTATTTTCTGAATGACGACACTATGCTGTCAGTTTCGCGTGAAGCAAGAATTTTTTGAGTCGGGATTTGATAATCTCGCACGAAAAGAATTTTTTGGAATACCGTTCTCTTTGATTACTTCAATCTTAGTCAAAGCTTATATGATGTAGTTTGAAAGTAGATGTGTATTATTCATGCAATAGACTAACTTTCAATAGAAAACGGTTAACAGAAAAACATTCGAAAATTCTTTTGTCAAAAATATTTGTTTGTTTTGTAAGAAGCAATTTTTCACTTTCAATTGCGCAGGGAAATCTCTCATTCGTCCTTTGATGACACAAATCACCCTTTCATACGAAGTTGGATGATTTTAAAGTGTCAGAAAATTCAATCAATGGATAAAAATTTGTAATTCCAAACAATAATTTGGGCATTAGAAAGAAATAGTGAAAAAAGGAAGAAGTTGAATTTCTAAGAAAGAGAGTAAGTGTAATTTTAAGTTCTTTAATTAGATAGAAAATTAGTTTCAATTTTACAGATTTTGTTTAGGGATCAACGCAAAAAGCTGCATCAATGGGAAGTTAGTAAATGTGAAAATTCGTTAAGAAAGTGAGTCTATTGCATTCATTCAAGTTGAAGCCTGAATTTGAAGTTATTCAAACCTCAATTCTTTTTCTAAACTCATTTCAGTAGAAAAAATTCAGTCATCCCGTGTCTTATAGGAAGATGTTTAAAACAGTTTAAAATAGGTTTCTTTGAAGACTAAGCTTTTATTTTTTAATATAATTATTAATGAAACGGATATTTTCTTATGAAATTTCATTACAGAGAAGGCAGCATGAGAGCTGGGGATCGTTTGCTGTTAGTAAACGGTGTTAACATTTCCTGGCTTTCTTTGATGGAAGTGGCAAAGATTCTGAACGAAAAGGAAGAAGCTGTGTTGCTAATCGAATACAATGTTGGAAATGTGAGTAAGTAAAAGAAACCCAAGCCTCAGTTTTTAAACTACTTTCATAAACCTAAGAAATAAAAATAAAATTAATAATAGAATTACACTCTGGAAATACTGTACAGAGATTTAAATTTTAAATGACATTTACATTTAGTGCTTATACTCAATCCTGAGATCAGAAAGGATATAAAGTGCTGAGTAGAAATGTTTTCGGTTATTAAACATCAATCGCTGCACACTGACATTTGAATAATTGCATTCACTTTTAAATACTGATTAGAGGTTTAAGTATTTGATAATTTTTTAAAAGGGCTTTAATTAAATTTGAAGGCAAGAGAATTATTTCGCGCCATCGGTACAAAATTACTTGCACAAAGGTAATGACTTAATGGTAACTGAAGAAAATGTTACGTATATTTGACAGAGTAAAAGAAATGAGTTATAAGTCCAAAGAAGAATCGTACGTTAAATATATAAATATGTCAATGTTTCTTGAAAATTTCGCAATGCCTTAGCAATGGTCACTTTTAAAGATCCTAATAATAATCAAGAAGGTGATTGTTTTTCCTAGGCAATCATTTACGAGATATTCTGAAGTTTCAAGTCTATAATTTGCTTCCCTTTCTGTAAGGTTGTACTTATAAATGATATGTTTGGGATTAAATTAAGACAAGTCAAATCCCGACCTTGTTTTGACTGGTACAACCACTGAAAGCAGTGCAGTTTTTAAACGGGTATATTACTAAAACCTTATTATTATTTTAAAACAGCGAAATTGATCTCATTCGTTGTTTACTTGAAATTATCCTCCAAATAAATGTAAAAAGTAAACCATCCGGTTATTAACCATTATGCTGGGATAACTGGTTTGGTTGGAATTTTGAGATCCAAATATGAAACAAGCAAACAAACAAACAAAAAGCCGCTGCGACAAAGTCTAGATGTAAATGAGAAAAGTGCCCCTGTGCAGTGTGTTCAATAGCTCAGGTCTACAAAATCATACCATTAACGTTCTCATTGTATTATACGCATAGTTTTCGGAGATTTTTTGATCAAACGTTCCAGATCAGTTTGTTCCGCGTAGGATAACTACCTTGTGAGATTTAAATTTTGATTAAAAACTTGAATTCTAAAAATTAGGGACATAACGCACTTATTGATCTCGCTGGTTCTACTGGTGTTTGCGATCATTTTCGAGGAAAAATTATCTTACGTGCTTTTTTCTAACAAAAATGGATGGTTTTTAACAAAGCTATCTTACTTCACGTATATAAAACTGAATTTTAAATTTCACTTAATATTATACCAAAATGATTGGAAACTGACTATACATGTTTTCAAAGATTTTGTCGTTATTAAACGGCTTTAGAAAGATTGAAGAATCTTTCCAATGTTTTTTGACAGTTACATTCTTTGCTTTATTTTGCACTACCTTGTATTTTTCAGAAACGCAGCTTAACAAGTACAAGCGTAATAGTTTTATCTGCTCTGCTCTGTGCGATCCATGACGAAATTCTGATGTTTCGCTTATTTGAACCTGTACCTATCTCCCAAATTGCCAGTTCTCAGAATGCTGCCGTTTGGCAAAATATAACATGTTTATTTTTCTAGTTTGATATGTAATTATTTAACAAACTTAATAATTGTAAAATAACAAACTGATTAATTATATAAATCTTTTTCTTAAATATTTGTAACTTTTTAAGTAATTTTTAATTGACGTAAATTAAAATAAATTTAATATAAGTGGTTACCAGTTGAAATGACTATTTGCAGCATTTACTTAATTATTAAAAGATATTTCGAACGCCATAAATCATGAATTTAGACAGAAGAATATTTTTGGTTGTGAAAAACGTATATACATAAATATAACACATGTACAAAAAAAGAATTAAAATAGAACACGTTTCTCATTGTTATAAGTTTTCTTTTAGTTAACTTACAGTATCAAACATTCCATTTATGAAGCGGATTTCACTGATTATTTATTCAGCTTTAAACCATATGCTATTTATTTTTAAAAGGTTTTTTAGAAAGTATTTCATTGATGACATTTGAAGTTTTATGCTTGACTTGTCAAGTTTAACTTTTTATCGCTCTAATATGCTTTTGAATAGAAGTATATTTTTATTTTTTATAAGGTAAATTTCAAAATAATTCGGATGTAAAATAATGGATTGCTTATATACCCCTTTCAGGATTTACATTTACATTCGAAATTCTTTTTAATCTTAGTTTAAGTCATAGGAAAAATCACGTGGGATTATATTTTGGGGAGCGAAGTAGCCGTGCAAGTGCAAGTGACTTATGGCTTTTTCTTCTGTACAGTGATGGCGCAAAAGCAGCTCTACCTACAGACTAATGTGAGGTGAGGTGTTGCTGCAGCCTGCATAAAAGATATCTCTTACCACAACCGCCTCTGTGGAAATTGTGGAATGACAAAACTAATCAATATATCAGGATACCTTTGAGTGGTCCTGTTCAAGTAATGCTCTCAAAAAAAAAAAAAAAAAAGAATTATGCGCTGATGAAATCTGCTATGAAGCCACATCAAACAGTGACTTTTGATAAATCCAGTGCTATTCAGAATTTTCCATGGCGAAGCATCATTGACCTCCTGGCAAGAAATGCAGAGCAAATGCCACCCGTTTATCATAATCATTGCATTTTAATTCCTGCTTGAGGCTTATCTTGTAAGGGTAGAAGTGAAGAATTTCCTGAAAAATCTGCCATATCGTTGAAAAATTCAAATCTAATTATTGCGCTATTCCCCGAGTATTGCTACTACTAGCTGCAATTGTTCCAAGGGTGCCCTCCATGATTGCAGTCGCGACATTAGTAACGGTCTGTTCTGACACGGATTTCTGCCCTATACCAAACCGAACTGCTAAGTGTCCTGTTTCTTCAAGCTCTTTAGTCATGCCTTTCAGTACATTAATTGATAGAGGCCCTTTATGAGGTTGCTGCAATTTCTAAACTCACGAAGAGCAGTAACTGCGTTCGATTGATGAAGATAAAACAACTCCCACAAGTAATGCGCTCTGAGGTAAAGTGAAGCGAACGTTGAACTCGAATAACATTCCGGATGTTCTTCGTTGTTTTTTCCTTGTCTTGAACTGAATTATGTGGTTACTTTGTCGTTTACGTAATCTAGTATTTCCATGTTCAAATTTTACTTGCTTTTCATGCAAATTTTCAGTTGTGTAGCGAACAACGTCATATTTTCCCCTATCGGTAACTTTCGGAAATAATGTTTTTATCGAATGTCTTTTCCCATGTTTTCATTAATTCTCCTACTAAGTTTTTTGACATTCTACTTGATAAATCGAGCTACAGATGGCTCTAAGTAGTGCCAGATAAAACAAAAATGCGCCCTGTATATACTATCATACAGCACTGCACTTATCTGTGCAGCTCTTTAGATTCTCAATATTTGCAAAATGTTATTTGTCTCTAATTTGGTTGCACTTCAGTGTGTAATTACTATGATACAATTTAAAAAATTTTTTTTAAATCAATAGAAAAAATGATTGGTGTGGATATTTGGAATTCCTAATATCTGGAGTCCAAATATTTTGGAATTTTACTATATAACTGCAGAAGTGATTTATGTTTTTGTAACGACTAGACCTTCAAATGTAAAGTAAAATTGCTAATTTTAATAATTATCCTTCTCCAGATTTGCTTAAACAACCAACCGGTGAAGTTGAGTTGGAAATAGAAGCTCTGTATTCAAAGCTCGGTGTTAGTTTAGCCTCTTCAGTCACGAATCCTTCCAAAATATGCATTGACCAAATTCAACGTGGAAGCATTGCTGAAAGGTAACTTTTAAATGAAATAAATATGGAAATAGGATATCATTCTTGTGAACATAATTTTAAATTTATATTGCATTCCTTATGTTGTTCAAGTAATGCAAATATCGTTTAAAAAAATTAATAGTAAAGTTGCATGTTATATGATCACCTTAGACATAAACCACACATTTTTATATTAATTAAAAGAATTTAAAAAAACTACAACCTGAAAACTTCGAATTATGTACATCCCTTGAAAGAAAAGCCTACCATTAACATTTCAAAAAAATCGAGAAAAAATATTAAAAATTAAAAAAGCAACATATCATGAAAATTAAAAAATATATATATAATGCCAGTTCTATAACGTATGACATCAGAGAAATCTTTATTTATAAAAATAAAATTGTTCCTAAAAAGATTTAAATTGCTAAAAATTGTCTTGCTGCTTTTAAATCATTCACTTTATTAATAGTTAATTAATAACAGATATTAAATTTAAAAAGTAAATATATTGCGCTTTGCCTAAAGGCAATATTCTAAAAATCTGCTTAAGGTATACTGGAAGGTGAAGTATAATTATATTTCTTGGAGAAGTAATGCTTGCCATAAGCTGCCTCTAGTTTTCTTATGGTACGTCTTCTCGTCGGTTTCCGAGGCATGCTCATGTCTGCGGATTTGAATTAAATAGAATGGGAGATTTTATGCTTAGTGAAAACAGTGTATCTCCTCCGAAAGGTAAAAAACTACAATTCGGTTAACTGCGTAAAATTCTGATGATTTTCTCCTCTTGTAAAGTAAATACAACATTTTCGCACTACGATAATTGATAAAAACTACATTTATTGCCGTTGTTTTACAGATAGAAACATAAAATTTGCACATAGCTGTATAATTTTATAAGTCGACAAATTCAAAAATAAATATTACGTAATTTTAAGTTAATTTGATTTTCAAAGTCCAGGATGAAAATATTAGAAAGAGGTATTTATTACTTAGCTAACAGGAACTCGTGGCAAAAATTTATTAAATGTGTTTTTTCCCTCGCAAAAGCGTATAATTTGAAGTGATTGTTTACTCAAAGACATAAACAGAACGCATCGTGCTTTATTTAGAAAAAATAAAAGACGAACTTCGTACTTAAAAACATTTTTTTTTTTTTAATTACAAATAGCATCAGTATTGAATATATAATTATATGAAAATTTTATTTCCCAAATCTTATGATAATTTTGCATTCTAAATTGTTTATTTAGATAAACAAACGAGTATATGAAATATAGGTATTGTGGCTGAAAACCACAATCCGTAAGTTTTAGCATTCGGCAGTTATTATAGTTAAAGCCAAATAGTTTATAGCCAAATCTCAAAACAGGCAATAATTTACGATTACTTTTTGAACAGCCAGTTCTAAACTGGCCGAGAGAAAATGGTCAGAGATAAAAATTATCTTTCTTTTTCTGTTAATATTTTTTCAAGAAACGAATGTTTTCAGTTCCCTATTAAAGACATAACTAATACTGAAAAGTATATATGTTTCATTGTTTAGTTCTTTGTAATTAAGCACACGAATGTTATCTGCCTATAAAGGAAAAAAGCCTTCGTAGATAGTATTTTAAAAGAAATTTGCATTCATGTTAAACATAGGGAAAACCACAAGAATGTCTACGAAACTAACCGTTAATTAAGATTCGAAATCGTCCTTTAAAATTCGAACCTTAGGTCGAATTACATATAATGATACTAGAAAGCCCGGCGGTCATACGATATGACCGCTGTTCTAGATATTATAAATTGTAATTAAAATGATTTGTGCAAAGGTGTCTTCTAATTCAAACTGAATTATCCAGGGCAGGCGACAAGGACGCCCTTTTGCCTACTGTCCCAAGGGGTTTCCGCCTTCTACTTGCTTAAGTGCTTAAAATAGAGTGCAATGAAGGAAACCACTGGCGGTACATTTCTTAACAGCCACCGCTAGCTCAATAAATAAAGGTGATTTAAATAATAAAGTGTTAAGTCACATGTCAAAGCTCTCTTTGTACACAACAGTTCTTGTGTAGATCTTTTCATCATTTTTAAGCTCGCGTTGCAGAGGACCATCAATTATTTTTAATTTTACGTCCGTTCTTTCACGAACTCTTGAAAAGGCAACATAAAGTTGACCGTGACCAAATGCAGGCTCAGTAAAAAAATGCCAACACGCTGAAGCGTTTGGCCCTGAGACTTATGGATGGTCATAGCAAAGGCAAGTTTTACAGGAAATTGTCTACGTCTCAATTGAAACGGCAACCCTGTGCCGTGGCAACTTCACCCCATTGGATAATACAGGTATTTATTTATTAAATGTTAAATGCACGTGCTCTTGTATTTTTAATTTTTCCGGCTTAGCTTTCTCATAATATTCGTCACGTGCTGCACTGCACGGAGAATAATACAATTTACAGTTACGCAAGCAACTAATAAACTATCGGCGACAAACACTTAAGCCGCATATATATAGGATAACTATTTTGTATTTTTCTAGTCGTACCATCATTAGCTCATCATCGGAAGTTTCTGTAAAAATGTGCCTGCGCCAAAAATAAGAAAATTAAAAATAACTAGATAAAATTATAGCAATAAATAAAAGTGTCCATCTCCAAAGTTGTAAAACTCATACAAAATAAGTAAACAAATCAGATTTTAAAACAATTTCCTATAATATCAAGGACCCTTATCTCAATGAGAGTTACCAATGTAACTGATAAGGCGAAAGTGATTAGGAAAGGTGAAGTGGTTGCAGCATGTACTCCAGTGACGTATGTTAAACGGCCAATGAATCCACCAAAATATATGTCTTTGGAGACCCTAATATTGGAAAACTTTTAGCATGCACAACTAAGCAATGAAGAGAGAAATGCTGCAGAACGTGTCATTAAAGGATTTCAAGATATTTTCTCCCGCTCAACTTCTGACATAGGTCGAACCAGTTTGTCTTAACATAGAATTGATACGGCAGATCATCCACTAATCGAGCAACATCCAGGACGTCTGCCTTTTGCTAAACAGGAAGAGGTAGGAAAGCTTTTGAGGAAATGCAAAAAAGCTACATTGAGCCATCAGCAAGTCCATCGACCTCTCTCACTGTCCTGGTCAGAAAAATACCATTTTTGAACTAGATTTTGAGTTGACTATTGCTGGTTGCACCAGGTTACAAAGAAAAGCAGTTACCTACCCTCTACCTAGGATTGACGATATTCTGGGATAGTCTTTCTGGAAGCAAGTGGTTTTCGATGCTTGATTTAAAGAGTGGATATTGAAAGGTAGAGATACGCCCTGATGACTTAGAAACTTTCCAACGAAGCCTATCTGATATGCATGGATGACATCATCGTCGGGAAGTATTTTAAAAAACAACATTTAGAAAATCTTAGAAAGGTGCTTCAAAAACTAAAGGAAGTCAGTCTAAAATTAAGTCCCGCCAAATGTAAATTGTTCAGACAGAAAGTGACTTACGTTGGACATATCACTGCCGAAGCTGTGTATTCGGATCCAGAAAAAGTGTCAGCTCTTAAAGACAGGAGATGCCCCGAAAATGTCCAGCAGCTGAGATGATTTCTGGGGATTTGCACCTACTATAGTAGATTTGTGAAGGACATTTTTCCATCGCAAGACTCCTTCACAAGCTAAAATAGAGCAAAGAAATGTTCTTGTGGAAAAATTTAGTGTGAGAATGCATTTATCAAATTGAGTAAGATTTAACATCTGCAACAATCCTTTGCTCAGCAAACCATTTATTCTCGACACGGATGTGAACAATGATGTGGTCAGTGCAGCTTTGTCTCGAGAAATAAATTGTGAAGAATATGTCTTAATATTTTGGAACAAGTGTCTATCTAAACCGGAGAGGAATTACTGTGTCAGCATTGTAGGTTTGCTTGCAATAATTAGACTCGTAGAACGTTTCCATCGTTATCTCTAAAACAAAAAATTCTTGCTCTGCACAGATCATGCACCAGTGACCTGGTTTTTAAATTTTTAAAATCCTGAAGGACAAGTAGCCAGATGGATACAGAGCTTCCAGGAATACAACATAACTATTCGTCATAGGAAAGGATTTTCGCACAGAAACGCGGATGCTCTCTCCAAAAATCCCTATCCAGAAAGCTGACGATAATGTTACAGGATTAAAGCTAAATGCGAGCTTTACTTTGTCTGGTCGCACGGCAAGTTACAGCTTCAATATCGGCTGATCGAGACGCATGGACGGACGAAGAAGTTGGAAAAGGCAAGTTGAAAGGCCGCGACATTAAACCCATAACTGAATTAATGGAATCATCAAATAAAAACCCTACCTGGTAGAGCATTTCTATCTATAGTTCTGCACCAAAACAATATTGGGCTCTCTGGGGCTCATTCCATATTCAAAACGCCGTTTTGTACCACAAGTTCGAATCGGTTAATAGAAAGACATTCCGGTGGTAGCTGATACTTCCACAATCTCAGATCCCGGACGTCCTTAAAGTATTGCATAGCAATCTGCCAGGGGCCACGTCGAAATAATGAAGACGTTGCAGAGAGTTCCAGAGCTCTTCTACTGGAGTGATACAAGGGTTGACGTGCAAAACTGTTATTAATCTTTCAATGTCTTTGCGGCTCAGAAAGATCTAAGGAAAGCAGCTGATAGAAGCTGCAATGTGGAAGCACCTTTTGAACGCATTGCCTTTTACATCCCGGGACATCTGCCACGAATTGCTCATGACAACAAATACATCTTCATTGTTATTGATTACTTCACAATGCTGGCTGAAGCGTTTATAACAGTAGCAGGGGTAATGATACAGCATTGAATTTCCAGGTCTGGAGTGCCTTCAGTTATATTCAAGGAATCAAAGAAATTTTACCTCGCCTCCAACTGAAGAACTCTGCCAGCTACTCGGCATCGAAAAAAACCCAAACGATACCTTTATAACAGACCGCATGGTATAAAGGTTTAATCGTACCGTACTTAATATACTCTCACTAATGGTTTCCAGAAACCAATA